CCCTCATGTCTCCCTATGTCCTGAAGATGTTTTAGAAGCAACCCACTGGGCTTGCTGATTTTGTCCCTTTTGTTAGGGATGCCATTGAGAACTAGAGAGACAAGTTAATTGCTCAAGTTCTCATAACTAGTTAATGGCAGCATAGCACTAGAAGTTAGGTCTTTTGGTACTTCGTTCTGGCATTTATTCTTTTACCACATTTGCTTTCTTTTAATTCCCTTCAAGCACATCCTATTACTCCTGCATAATGGGCTATGAGAAAATCTGAACTGAGGAGCTTTTCATTATTAGTCATACTCTATTCTAGGTGTAATACCTTAAAGGTCAAACTAATAGGAGTTTCATTTCTCTTACTGTTAGTAGGAACAGGAACTATCTTGTACCTCTGTAGCTCTTCAGGCAAGGGGAGCCCTAATCCAGAATGTGTATATCCCTTAACACTGCAAGCTGAGAAATCCTTTAAGCTTCTCCCAGATTCTAGCAAACTTCCAATATATCAGTTGTAACTCCCAAACTGCTTTACGATGTTTTCTCTGACATAATGAAGCCTTTGGCCATCACTGCTACTTTGAAAATCAAAGCCTTTTGGTCTCTAATGGAATGTTTATAAAAATACTCCATTTTGAAATTTGCTCAGGAAAAGGAAGTATGGTAAATGATGTTAGAATTCCCTCCGGCTTGCTTTGGCATTGATTCACTTAATGTTATGTACTCTGGAAATATCTGGAATTAGTGTGAATAAGAATATTAAAACCCAAAGTTAAATAAGCTCTTATCTTCATTGTCTTCTTTTATAGAAGTATAGCATCAGATATGCAGATATTATTAACAAATAATTGTTATTTCTCTGTGACTTGATTAATTTCCTTTTGCCAAATCTAATATACTAATCCAGGGTAAGCTTAAAATTCCTAATAGCTATGTCAAAAGTCTCATATGTTTCCATTCTTTTGCTAAGGTTAAAGTGTCAGGTTTTTTTTTTTAAGATTTTATTTATTTATTTGATTGAGAAAGGAGAGAAAGAGAGAGCATGAGCAGGGGGTGGGGCAGAGGGAGAGGGAGAAGCAGGCTCCTCACTGAACAGGGAGACAGGACACAGAATCATCCCAGGACCCGGGATCATGACCTGAGCTGAAGGCAGATGCTTAACTGACTGAGCCACCATGTGCCATAAGTGGCAGGTTTTTTTTAGAAGGAGCAATATAGGGACGCCTGGGTGGCTCAGTTGGTTAAGCAGCTGCCTTCGGCTCAGGTCATGATCCCAGCGTCCTGGGATCGAGTCCCACATCGGGCTCCTTGCTCATCAGGGAGCCTGCTTCTCCCTCTGCCTCTGCCTGCCATTCTGTCTGCCTGTGCTTGCTCTCTCTCCCTCTCTCTCTCTGACAAATAAATAAATAAAATCTTTAAAAAAAAAAAAAAAAAAGGAGCAATATAAGATGGCAACCCTGTAGTTTAAAAAAAAACAAAACACACACACACACACACACACAAAAACAAAACAAAAGCCACAGAACTATATTCTGTATATGTTGTTCTCTGTTGCTTTCCTTAGTGTCAATGAAAAAAAAACAAAACAAAACAGTCAAATGTATGAAACATTCAGTTTAGTAATATAGTGATTCAGAATACTTACATGTAAAAGAGACCCAAGGACCTTTGGCTTATCCTATGCTGTTGGATCTGTCTTAATGTAAGGCACTAATGCATCTATCTGAAAGTAGAAAATAACATCTATTCAAGAAATATTTAATGAGGACTGCTGTATACCAGGAATTGCTCTAGGGAGCTAGCAGTGAATGTAAGATGGTCAGACTCCCTGCTTTCCTGGAGCTTACACTCTAATCAGGGAGAGAAAGATTTAAAAATTACGTGGATAGGTTAATTAATTGATCCGTTCCATTGGCTTTCACTATATATTTCTGTTAGTTTGCCCACCAGCACAGGCCTCTTATTAGCGTGGTAAAAAGGTCTGATCACTCAAAGTATTATAGACTTGTAAAGTATTGAAATGGAACTTTGGGGAATTGAGGGCAGTGACCTTTTAGAAAACAGCCAGCCCCATCAGTGATTTCTACTGGCTGTCCCTGTCAAATGTGCCCCCATTGCTGGCCTTTGTTGTTAGTTCTTATGGCACTTCAGCTTTCTGAAGTAACCCAGAATACATGGATGGGGCTGTCATTTTGACTTCAACTCAGAACTATTTGTTAACTTCTTTTAAAAACATAATTTTAAAAAAAGAAAAAACAGAGGGGCAAATGTAGCATCTTAAAGTGACATGTTTGAAATTCCAGGTTAAAACCTTCTAATAAAAAGCTGCTAATACTTTGGGAAACATTTCTTATTTGTCACTAGTCTTTTCTTACGTAAGCCTCTGAGTTCCCAAGGACATCCTTTGGTAATAGCTGACTTAACTACCTAATAACATTATTTTATTTTATTTATTTATTTTTAAGATTTTATTTATTTATTTATTTGAGAGAGAGATCACAAGTAGGCAGAGAGGCAGGCAGAGAGAGAGGGGGAAGCAGGCTTCCAGCTGAGCAGAGAGCCCAATGTGGGGCTTGATCCCAGGACTCAGACCATGACCTGAGCCGAAAGCAGAGACTTAACCCACTGAGCCACCCAGGCGCCCCAACACTGTTTGATTTTAAATTGTTTGATTTTTCAGCACCTGGGTGGCATAGTCGGTTGAGCATCCAACTCAATATCCGTTCAGATCATGATCTCAGGGTTGTGGGATCAAGCCCCGTGTAGGGCTCCACGTTCAGTGGGGAGTCTGTCTCCTTCTCTGCCCTTCCCCCAACTTGTGCCTCTCGCTCTCTGTCTCCCTCTAAAATAAATAAATCTTTAAAGAATTGTTTGATTTTTTTTTTCTTCTTCTGAGTTTACCTTTATTGTAAAAATTGCATGTAAGAAATTAAGATAAATTTTATCTTGGTAAGCAAATTTAAGGCTGTCACTTTTGCTGTTTGCATTAAGTAAACATGCTACATGTTTTTTCCATTTAAAAATATGTGGGTTATTTGATTTTAGAGTAGTTATTATCAAGAACTTAAAAACATTTTTGCTGATGTCCTTAAGATACTCGTCTGCTCTTTAAAATTCTCTTGCAGAAACTCTGTCAAATACTACATATATAAACTAAAACATTTTTCTCTAACAAAGAAGGAAAAGCTACCATCATTCTTTTAACCAGATATTCATAGTAGTAAAATTGGTTTTAAAACAGGGGTACTTGTTACTGTAGCTGGTTTTGTTTTTGTTATACCTGTGGTTTTTGCTTTGTTTTTTAGAGGTTGATTACAGTGAGTAGATCAATATTCAATACTGTGTCTTTTAAGGCCATTACAGGCCTGAGATTTTATGAATCTGTATTTACCTTTGCTCTGCTTTTTCCCCCCCATAGTGACCAGAGCAGGAATTTTGTCAGAGTGAGCTAGAGAGTGAATTGGGCTGTAGTGTAGGAGGTGGTGTTGGGCATTGAGTGAGAGAGCACGTGTAGTGGTTGTCTCTAAAAGGTAATTACTGTGGGTTTCTTCTTTGTTTTTTTGTTTTTGTTTTTTTTTTAAATACCTAGTACAGAGGCGCCTGGGTGGCTCAGTTGGTTAAAATACCTAGTACATTCTCTTAATTGTAATAACTTCTAAAATTTATTTATTTATTTATTTATTTATTTATTTATTTATTTCAGAGAGAGAGAGAGCGTGTGTGCACGTTGGGGGTGGGGAAACAGAGGGAGAGGGGAAGCAGACTCTGATGAGCCAAAACCTAGTCAGGGCTTGATCCCACAACCCTGAGATCTGGACCTGAGCCAAAACCAAGGAACCACCCAGGCGCCCCTTAATTGTAATTATAATTAGGGGGGAAAGGAAGAAAAGATAAACCCATAGATTAAAAAAAAATTTTTTTTAGAAGCCATCTTTTCAAGTACTTTGCTCCAAACAGATAATCCGTGAATTCTTTAACAGAGGTCAATATTTAAGTCATTAAAAAGATTATAGAAAGAGACTTTTTAAAAGAACTTTTGTGGAGAGGACAGAGCACCACTTAGGGCTCAATCTCATGACCCTGAGATCACGACCCAAGCAGAAATCAAGAGTCAGTCACCCAACCAACAGAGCCACCAAGGCACCCCCCAGTACCCATTCTTAAGGGAATAATGAAGACAAGATAATCCTGAGTAAAAGAAGTGAATTTTTGATATGTTCTTTTTCGGTTACTCTCCAAAATGTTCCTTTTCAGAAAATGTGAAGATGTTTTTATGTGTAATATATTGGAACCACAAGCACTGACTTTGTATTTCAAAGTTGGAAGAAATGAGATTGATGTCGCACACAGTTGTAAAATGCCAAAAATAAGTAGAGCTGGAATAAATTAAAGCCCAGTGTTCAGAAAAGCCAAGTAAAAGCTTCAGATCAAGAGTAGCTATAATTGAAAGGGTCCAAATAAGTATTTAAAACCACCCCTGCTGGGACTGCTAAGACTTCTGAATTTCAAATTGGCATTTTATGTTTGACAAGGTGACATTGTATAAGAAATGTATTGTAAAACACTGCTGTACGATAGGAAAATGATTGAATGTAAATATTTCAGGATGTGGACCACTGTTCAAATGTTATCATAAATCTTTGCCATTGTTTTAGGGGATAACCCTGCATGCATATATGAGCTGAATTGAGAGAGCTAACTCTTGGAAGGGAAGTCAGCAGTGAGTTTGTGCGTGTCTGACCTTCTGCCACTACTAATCTGATTTGACCACAAAAGTATCCTATTAGATCTTTGCTATTGTTATCATATGCATATTATTACATAAAGTGAAAAACTCTTTTCTGGAGATACTACATCTGGCATTGCTTTTGACCTGTTCATCGGGTGGTCTGAAATGTCATTGGTATGTGAAATTGAAATGGCTTGAGCCAGGATGCCCTCTTAAACTTTGAAAAGGGAAAAAAAAAAAAAAACTTGAACTGTAAAGTTAACTATCTTTCCATTCCTTGCAGGTTTGGAAGGTTTACAGTAGCTGCTCTTCAGTCCAAAGTAGAACAGCATGAACGTGAAACCAATCGCCTCAAGAAAGCCCTGGAACGAAGTGATAAGTATATAGAGGAACTAGAATCTCAAATTTCACAGCTAAAAAATTCAGGTGAAGAGAAGGAAGCTATGAATTCCATTTGCCAGAGAGCACTTTCTACAGATGGCAAAGGGAGCATAGGCAATGAGGAGGATATGACATCAAAGAATCAAGGTGATGGTGCCAGAAAGCCGCTTGGCTCATCCACCTCAAGTTCTCACCTGGCAAAACCTTCTAGTTCTAGTTCTGCCAGGAAGGAAAGCACCAGCAAAACAGAACCAAATTGTCCTAAGAACAAAGACCTATATCAAAAACAGGTGGAAATAATGTTAGATGTGACAGATACAAGCATGGATACTTATTTAGAAAGAGATTGGGGTAATAAGCCAAGTGATTGTATTCCCTACAAAGATGAAGAACTTTATGATCTTCCAGCTCCTTGTACCCCTTTGTCCCTTAGTTGCCTTCAGCTCAGTACTCCAGAAAATAGAGAGAGCTCTGTAGTTAAAGCAGTAGGTTCCAAAAAGCACTCAAACCATCTTAGAAAATTGGTGTTTGATGATTTTTGTGATTCTCCGAATGTTTGTAATAAAGATTCATCAGAAGATGATAGAAGTGAAAATGAAAAGAAATCAGAATGTTTTGCTTCCTCAAAGACAGGATTTTGGGACTGTTGTTCCACAAGCTATGCCCAAAACTTGGATTTTGAAAGCTCAGAGGGGAACACAATAGCAAATTCTGTTGGAGAAATTTCTTTAAAATTAAGTGAGAAATCAGGCTCCTGCTTATCTAAGAGGTTGAATTCTATTCGCTCATTTGAAATGAATCGGACAAGAACATCCAGTGAAGCCTCCATGGACGCAGCTTACCTTGACAAAATCTCTGAGTTGGATTCAATGATGTCGGAATCAGACAATAGCAAGAGCCCTTGTAATAATGGTTTTAAGTCAGTGGACTTAGATGTGTTATCAAAGTCCTCTCAAGGCAGTGAATTTCTTGAGGAGCCAGATAAGTTGGAAGAAAGAACTAAGCCAAACCTTTCCAAAGGTTCTCTAACTACTGATCAGTTAGAAAATGGAAATGATTGGAAACCCACTTCTTTTTTCCTCCTCTCTCCATCTGACCAAGAAATGAATGAAGATTTTTCTCTCCATACCGGTTCTAACCCAGGAACTAATGAAATCAAACCCCCAAGCTGTTTGTTTCAGACTGAGTTTTCCCAGGGTGTTTTGTTAAGCAGTTCACACCGGCTATTTGAAGATCAGAGGTTTGGGTCTTCTTTATTTAAGATGACCTCAGAGATGCATGGTCTTCATAACCACCTTCAGTCTCCTTGGTCTTCTTCCTTTGTGCCTGAGAAGAGGAATAAAAATACAAATCAGTCAACAAAAAGAAAAATCCAGAGCAGTCTTTCCAATGCCAGCCCATCAAAAGCAACTAAAAGTTGACTGGTTAGAAAGGTGTCATTTATGTTTTTGTCCTGAGAGGAATAGAAGTTTTTAAAGTTACTTTTTTTCCCTCATAAAAGTTCTGTACGATGTTGAATTGATAATCTGTAGTCAAGTATCAAGTCAGAATGGTGGATTAGCCTGTACCTAAAATACTTCTGTTCATTTTAAAGAGTTTGTCATTTTTTTCATTTCATTTGGGCATCTTTTTAACCAGAAAAGATAGAGAGAGGGAGAGGGTTTCTTTTAATGAATATTATATGTATCTGGTTTGGGTGTGTTATGTTTTCTTAGGTCTTGATTTAGCTGTTAAATACAGTGGCCAATTAATGAGCCTCGGTTGTCTTCAAAACTTGGATTCCTTAAATAAAACTTTTTGGGTTGTCTATACACTGCTCATAAGACACTTGAGTTTCTTTAAAGCTTTTCTAAGCTGGGAATTATTTTGCCTGTCCTTTTTTATTTATGTTTAGTGATGGCTCAACTTTTAGGCAGGGCTATGGTGGAGAAAGCGCACTCTAACCTTAGTCCAATATTCATTTACCTTTTTTTTTTTTTTTTTTTTTTTAGGTTTTGTATATGTATGTTTGCATTTTTAACATTGTGTTTTGTACAGTTTTTGTGAGAACCTTTTGCTACAATGAAAAAACACATTTTCTATATGAAAATACTTGTTTTATGTGAGGTAGCTTTCATTTCCTCATCTTTTTGTGTGTGTTGAAAATCAGAAATTGAGCCTACTTTGGAAAGAAGGCATAAAACGGTTGGTTGGGTTTGGAGGAGCCTAAATATGGTAGCTTCATTGTTCCAGATACACAGGTGTGGAAGTGCTCTTTGCCAAATGCTTGATTCACTTTCATCCCAGGGGAGCTTTTTTGGAGTGAAGTTCTTGTTTGCATGTTACTGTTCTTTGTGGAAACTCTGTATGCATGGTAGCATTCTTTCTTGCACTGTTTTCCTTACTTAGAAAAAGAAGTTTTAGTTGGTTAATAGACTATCTTTTATGTAGGACAGATTTTTTTTTCATGAAGAGTGTTGAGAATAGGTGAGCTAAGCACAATTTTTAATTTAGGTTCTGAAAAAGTATATTCTAAACATGTTTGGTATGCCTGTATAGGCCTTTAAAAATGGTTTGTATGCTAATGACTTGTTTATCTCATGTGCACTGAACATTTTACATTAATACTGTACTGTTTTACATTAATACTGCATGCTTTTCTATGTGAATTGAATAAAGGATGTCATAAGCACTACAGTCCTTGATGTTGTCTTAGATATTGAATTAGCCTATAACGACCAGTAAAACTTACCATTTTTAATTGATCTTATAGAGAGGTTGACAAACTATGGACCATGGACTAAATCTGGCCTACACCTATTTTTGTGAAAAGCCTGTGAACTAAAAATGATTTTTATACTTTTTAATGGCTTTTAAGAATTAAAAAATATTTCATAATACAGGAAAATGATATAAAATTCAAATTTCAGTATTTCTAAATAAAGTCTTATTAGAACACAGCTACACTCATTTGTTTACATATTACCTGTGACTGCTTCTGCTTTGTAGTGGCAGAACTGAATAGTTGCCAGTGAGACCATATGGCCCACAAAGCCTAAAATATTTACTCTTTGGCCTTTTACAGAAATATTTGCTGACCCCTGTTAATAATAGACTGTGGATTCGGTGAAACCGTAAAAGTGTAACAAATCGCTTTTATGATTTGGAGAATCATGCCCTCCACTTTTAGAAATAATAAGGGGCAAAAAAAAAGCTAATGTGAAGCATAATTTTATTATATATATTTTCCAATAAATATTTGTGTGCTGTTTTATTCTTTTTGATGTGTTGAAGTCGGTAGATACTTTTAGAGAGTAGTTTAGATATCTTTGACAATGGTAACATATTTGAAATTCTATTAAATGTAGAAATCTATAATTTTTCTAAGTAATCATAGAGTAAATTAGGGGGTAAGCCTCACTTTAATTCTCTCTGTAACTCTTCTTTACTATGAATGTGTCCGTTTTTAATCCATTAATCCAAATATATACCAGCAGTGTGCCATGGCAGTGCAGAAGATATAACCTGATTAGTGATGCCTAATCAGGGTTAGAGCATCTCTACTGGACCAGAGTATTTCCCAGCTGCTTCAGAAACGTTGCTCCACCCTTCCCAAAACAATATGTCATACATTAAACCCATCAAATGTGACATTTCTCCATTGAAGAGAATAACCTGCAGGATTTTATTTTAATCACATTCTCATTTGTACTCTTTACTTCTTTTACCATAATCTGATATATCATGATACATGTAGTGGTTTCATATGTTTTTAAGTGTATTGTACACACACTCTAAAAACAAAAGAAAGACAAACTTATTTATCCACGTGCTTTACTAACTTCTATTTCCTTTAATCCTCTTCAAACTCTGTAAGGCAAGAAAGAGCCTCAGTTTAAAGTGAGTGATTTGAGGATTAGTGGTCACACAGCTGGAATGGGATAGAACAATGTCTTAGAGCTGGGCCCCTAATTCTAGAGCATGTACTCTTCCTCCCCAGTGCATGAAAGTTCACATCTGAAGGCCAAAGGATGAATAGATTTGAAATTTCCAAGGGTTCTTTTTAAAGTACTATGAGAAATACTGGCATGTTTCTTTTCAGGTAGCATTTTATTCCGGCCAATGTTCCACTACTAAGTGGAAGCTCAGTGGTGAGAGTTGTTTGCCTCTTTCAATAAATGTAGGAAAATTTGCATTAACTCTGACATTTAGATGAATTTAACCCTTATTGGGAGGTTTAGATAGCACTAAAGGCCATGTTAGAACAAGATGCACTTGTGATAAGGGAAGCAGACACTAATCAGTCATGCCTATAAAAAAGCATCTTTTGATTGCTCATCTTTCTAAAATATGGCTAAGGGAATGTGACATGATGGTAGGTTTTTGTTTGTTTTTTGGGGGTTTTTTTGACATGAACTTTAGTGTTCATCTTTTAATTTTCAAAATCTTAATCCCATCAATGACTTTTTTTCCCCTGTTTTAATGTATCATCTGAATGAAACTGAAAATGGTAGACTTTTAAGATTTATAGCCCCTGAATTTCAAATCTACTTTGTATTCCTATAATGTCTTTTGTATCTATATTGGTTTAAAACTGAAGGTACCACTGAACTAGGGGAGAACTTTGGTCTTAAATCCTAAGATATTTCAGGAACTTGTTTCTGTATACTTGAATGGTTTTCAGTTATCCAAAGTATAATACATAGATTTTATACGTGTAGAACATCAAACTGAGATTAACAGTAACTTTATGGAGTATAGCCTATTAGATTAAAAGAGTGTTTTCCAAAGCCTCATAAGAAGGTCTTTCATTCCTATTTGTGGGAGTCCTACAACACAGTCTTTGCCTGTGATGATGTAACCCAATCCTTTTAATAATACTTGGCAGAGAGAAAACCTTTTAAGCAATGATCTCAGAGTGCATAGTGAACATTTATTTCCTAATTCTCGGAACCCCACTCTGAGCGAGGAAACATCTATTAAGATGCAGATTTCTTTTAAGAACCCATCTGGAGCTCAAGCTAGGGCGATCTTCAGTCTTACATGACAGAAGCAGCCTAGAATACTTTGAATTGGAGCTCCACTTCTTGAAATGGAAGATTCTAAGGTCTGCTGTGTCTTAAGAGGGAGCAGACCCCACTCTAATGAATGTTAGTTGAATTAACCAAGTGTGGAGAATGTGTGCCTTGTGGGACACTTAGAATTTCGGGGTTACCAAGGGCAAGGATTTAGACATTTACCGAGACTTCCTGTGAGGACAGAGAAGCTAGTTCTGGTCCATTTTGATTCTTACAGGACGGTGAGTAGAAAAAGTCGGTGACGGCGATAGCACCGAGCATAGAGGAAATAAGCATCTTCACGGAAGTACTGTTTGCACTGGGTCTTTAAGGATGAATAAGAGCTCGGTGTGGAAAAGGACGTCTCCTCTGCTTGTTCGCTGTCCTTGTAGGGGCGGCTTCACGGACGTCTCAGAAGCGGTGCTGAAGGACCCATTGCCTAATGCCAGGACTTCTGATTGAGAAGGGTTTCTAGATTGCTCCAGCCTGAGCTTGCAAGTTTGGCTTTGCTCCGCCTCTTCGTTCTCAGCGTCCCCTGAGACTCTAAGCTAGCCCTAGCCGCCGGGGCCGGCGGCCTGATGGCGAGACAGTGACTCCCTGGGCGCTGGAAGGCTCAGGAGGTGGCAAGGCTGGCCCATCATCTGTCCATTAAGCCGGGGCTTTGCGCTGCGACGGCCGGAAGGCGCGACCTCGCTTCACTCACAGGGTCATCTTTGTGCTGGGGGTGGGGAGGTGAGGTCTAGTCCGCTTGTCTCGGCTCTGAGGCCCCTACCTCCCTCTGATTCTAACTCTCCCAGCCTTCCGGGATTTCCGCAGCCAGCGCGGCTCTTCCCCCAAGCCCCGGCACATCACACCCCCCACCCCCGATCCCCCGGGAGGACAAATCTGCCGGTGCCCCTCCGGCCGGAATCTCCCGTGCTCTCGAGGGCGCTCTCAGCTGGTCTCTCGCCCAGGCCCCACCCGAAGAAACGACTTGCTTTGCGGTTTCCTTTCATTTTATTACCACTCGCGAAACCTGGCGATTAAGACGCGAAACCAACAAAGAGTTTTCTTTCCACCTTAACCTTGCACACAATCCTTTAACAAATTAATTAATCCTAATGAATTAACACTTCATTTATTTAAACGCGCTACAGTCCATGAATTAAATTTTCATGCAGTGATTAAAGGCTGTTAAAATATGCATGATTTCGTTAAAATTTTATAATAAATCAGGGCAATGTGTTACATGACAAGGCAACTATTTCCCAGTCCCTCGCAAGGGGCTTTGATTTGTGCGGGCGGCGAGGAGGAGGGGCGGCTGGCGGCGCCGGCAAGCGCCGGAGCCCGGCGACAGGACCCAACTCCGCACTTCTGGCTTTTGGACTCGCGGCTTCGCGCTTTCCTCGGCCCTCCTGGGGGATCCTGTTCCTGCGGACGGAGCTGAGCCTGCGGAGGGCGTTGGGCTCCCTCCTGCGGGTCCCGGCAACTGCACTCATACGGGGCGGGGGTCCTCTGCAGTCCGTTTGCGCCCGCGGAGCTCCCGCCAACCCCGGCCTGCGTGCGACCGAATCGCAGCGGCGGGCGGGCGGCTGTCTGAGGAGAGGGAAGGCGGCAGAATTTCCGTCTCGTCGCATAGGGTCACTGGCGGGAGTGCCTGCTGTAGAGTTGGTTTGTTCGTTGTTGTTTTTAACCCGGGGACCTCGAACCCCTTCTCTGAGCGGCGCACTCTTCCGGTTTTGAAGGAGCCGGGGTGGAGCGGGAGCGAATTTGCTTCTCTTAGGATCTAAACCC